CCCAACGCGGTTCATCTGGACATTACACAACAACGCAAACAGAAAAGCTCAGCAGAGAAGCATGTTTTGTCCACTGATGAATTCGAGGGAGGAGCTCACGAACGGAGGGGGAGGAGGAGGAAGGAGGCGGGATAAGGGGGGTAGGAAGGAGAGCGAGGAGGGGGAGGAGGAGGTATCTGCAGCTTTGAAACAGGAAGCAGGAGGACGAGGAGGAGAAAAAAGAGGAGGGGTGGAAGAAAAGGGGAAGGGGAGGCGAATGGGGGAGGAATAAGGAATCTCGGAAGCCCAGAAGAGAGAGGAGAAAGGAGAGGAAGAAAGAGAAGGGAGGAGAGCGGAGGCAAAGAGAAGAAAGAGGGGGACGAAGACGACACGGAGGGAGGAGCGACGAGGCAGAGACGGAGCGAGAGATGCCGCACACGGCGTCACGCTGACTTAGCTGCCCTGGCAGTGGCAATCCTGACTCTAACCATGTTGACGTCTTCCGCTCCCTTCCGCCACCGCTCGCTGGCCTTTCGACGGCAGACCCGTCGCCGCATTGCGTCCGCCGGCCGTCCATCGCCCAAGGCGATGTGCACCGAAGTGGAGGCCCTTCCTGGAACGCGCTGTGTGGTCGTGCCCTCGCCACAGCCCGGTTGAGGATGCGCGCGGCTGCGAAACTGCACGACTGCGGTGCGGCGCGGGATCGAGTGTTTCAAATAGCTGCAGCTCCTGCCGCGAGCGCGCAAGATCGAGAAGAGATGGCCTCGACCTTCACTGCAGTCGGCACAGGCCCAGACACAACAAACCATGAAACATCGTCGTCCTCACATCCATGGTTCCTACCTCCACACCTACTTCCTGACAGCCACCATCGTGCACCAGAATGATCGCCTGTCGAGCTGTGCTGTTTGCCCAGAAATTGTTGCTGAGCCATTACTTGTACAACAAACGCAACATGGAACAAACCATGCACTCCGGTGCTACCCCATTTCCTGGATCACCCTCGCAGATAGAAGATCATACATTCGATCCCATGCATCACTATAGCAGTTGGCACTGTGGCCGCGCATCCTCTGTGTTCTCGATGTGAGCCACCTCGTCCGAGCGAGAGGACTCCAGCGAGGCATCCCCGAGAAGCCTTCGGGCTCTCTCTCCTGTCCCTGCTCGCTCCGCCCCCGTTCGCCCGCCCAACGCTTGCCATGCCTCTCGTGCGGCCTCAGCTGCTACTGGCCCTCTCTATGTCTTAAACATCAAGAGCTCCACCTGACACATCTCCAGGGTCCGCGAGCATCTCCCTGGAGGATCAACAAAAAACATAAACATTCGGAACTCCGCGCGGATTTCTTGGATCGGCACCAGAGGCGCCACCAGGGGGCCCCAGCACCGATCCAAGAAATCTGCGCAGAACTCCGAACATGTAAGTGTATGCCGCGTTTTATTGTTCGACCCTTGCCCCTCCGCTACCCTCAAACCCGCCTCCTCCTCCGCTTCCTCCACCTCTCCCCCATGCTCACCCTTCTCCCCCTCCTGCTCCTCTGGGGCCACAAGGTACCGATACCGCTACTCCCTGGACCTCTCCCTGGGTGCGTTCTAACCAGAATGTCGAAGCGAATCCAGCGGTGGCGACGAGGGCATCCCAGGAGGCCGAAAATGAACAAAACGAGGGAAGGTTCTGGGGTAGTGATATTGTCACCTTTCCCTTCTCTGCTCCTCTGAAGGAACAGAAAGGATCGCTGTGACTCGCAACATTTGCAAGGTGGTTGCAACCCACATGCAAGGCACTTGCAAGCGTGTTGCAGGTCTGCCAAGCTGCTCCAAGTTGGGTGCGCGCCTTACTTAGACTCGGAGCAGTCAGGCGGACGTTAAACGCACCTGCAGACGCCTTGCAGGTGGGCTGCAACCACCTTTCCATTGTTGCAATGCAGTCGGGCTGCTGAAATAAGAAGCGACACACAAGGAACTAAGCCTTTTCTTGGCCCCGAACGCGCCTGCGTGAACGAGGAGGGCTGGAGGAACCAGCCATGGACGGATCCGAGGAGCATCAAGCCCCTTCCGAACCCAGACTGCTTCTTGTATTTCAGCGTCTTGGCTGTAGCCGTCACCCCCCTCTTGGCCGCCCCCTCCGCCACTCCCCAGGGCCCCGAGGTCCGCTCAAAAACCAGCCCCCCTGGCTCGGGGGCGCGCCAACGTGGATTAGCGATCCATGGATTCGGCGCGCGGTCGCCCAACCTGTGGATCGCGGGAGGTGCCCTCCCCAAACTGCGACCGGCACCGCCTCGCTCGGCGGCGGAAGTCCGCGATTTCCCATGGACACGGGACCCGTCGCAAATCCACGTCCCCCCTTCGATCCGCGTCTGCGATCGCCTGAGCACTCCCCGGGGCCCCGAGGTCCGCTCCAAAAGCCGCTCTCCTGGGAGGAGGAGGAGGAGGAGGAGGAGGAGGAGGAGGAAGAGGAGGAGGAAGAGGAGGAGGAGGAGGAGGAGGAGGAGGAGGAGGGGGAGGAGGGAGGAGGGGGGGAGGGAGGAGGGTCTCGGGGCCCGTCGCGACCACCGCCTCACTCCCAGCGGGGGGGCCCGAAGCGGGCATCTCCCCGCAGCAGTCTCCGGGCGGATCCACACACACACACACAGACGCGTCGCGCTCCCTCTTGCCAGAAAGGCACGGTGTGACGGACCGCCGACATGTACATTCTATACGACATGCAGTGGCTGAAGAGCACGAGAGGGTGGGTGTATGGGGTAAACGAAGGACACAAGAAGCAAGTACATGAATGCAGGAATAGGTGGGGGTCGCGGAGAAGTAAAACTGGATAATTAGCGGAGGAGGAGGAGGAGGAGGAGGAGGAGGAGGGATAAATGAGGAGGAGGAGGAGGTGGAGGAGGAGGAGGAGGAGGAGGAGGAGGAGGAGGAGGAGGGGGACTGCTCCCCCGCCCTTTCTCCTTTAGAATGCTCGCTCTGGGAGCCCTCCTCGAGCCGCCCGCTCTCCACTCGTGAATCGATGTGGCATCGGAGGTCCGTCGACCTGGCGCAGACTTGAATCGAACTTGAGCCGAAGTGGAGTCGAACCTCCTTGAGTCCAGGAGGAGGAGGAGGAGGAGGAGGAGGAGCTTGAATCGAACTTGCTGCTCTGGAATCAAACTTGAATCGAACTGGCCAAATCAGACTTGAATCGAAGTTGAATCGAACTCGGATACAAGGGCTGGGCTCCTGGAAAGCCCCAGAGCGAGCACCTGACCTCATCCTTCCCCGATGGGCCTGAGCACCCTGTGGCCGTGCGAAGGCGCGAGGGCGCAGGCGTCGCCGAGCGCGATGCGTGCCTGCAAGATGCGTCACAAGCAGGGAGAGCGGCCCTCCAGCGCAGACCGGCAGGGATGGGGACAGGGCAAACGACGATGAGGGATCGCCCCCAGACTGGTTCCTCCTCCTCCTCCCCTTCCTCCTCCTCCTCCTCCTCCTCCTCCTCCTCCTCCTCCTCCTCCTCCTCCTCCTCCTCCTCCTGCTCTTCCTCCTCCTCCTCCTCCCCGAGGATCGAAGATCCAGGCTTGAAGCTCCATGTGCTCTTGGACGACCTGAGACATGCAGGAGCGCCTCTGAAGAGAACCGCCAGAGAGCGCCGGAAGTCGTTGTCGTCGTCGTCGCCGATGGAGGGATCGAGGCTCGAACTTGCTGTTCTTTGCTGTCCTGGGCCTCCGGGACGCGGCTCCCCACGGCCACGGCCGGAGTTTCCCCCTTCCCGCCGGAGTCCTGGCCCGAGCGCGCGCAGGGAGAGGTCCGGAGCCCATGCAGCGCAGGATGCGCGCTGATCTCGTGCGATCTGTGCGGCGCAGTCCGAGTGGCGTCATCGAACTGACGTGATCTATGCGGCGCCAGGCAGCGCCAAGCACAGATATCCAAAGCAGCGCACAGGCATGCAAAGCAGAGCAAAGCATTACACACAGCGACGCAAAAAGAGCAGCGCGCGAGAAGCAACGCGACGGTAGCGAGCACCAAAGCCACACAGAGCAATGCACGCAAAGCAACACAAAACGAGCAGCAACGAGGCGGCGACGGCGGCCACATGGCCGCCAGAGCGGCCCGCAGGCCCAGGCGACGGGCGGCGACGGGCGGCGACGGGCGGCGGCGAGGCGGCGACGGCGGCCACATGGCGGCCAGAGCGGCCCGCAGGCCCAGTTCCCTTCGGAAAGAAGCGAGCGGCCCGAAGTGCAAGCACCGTTTGGGGAACAACGGGCGCTAGAAACCATGAGGAATCATGACAAGGAGTCCCACCAGCCCTTCAGGGCGTGACTGGTTTCGAGCACTTCCTCTTCCAATCCCCCCTTCTTCCCCTTCGGGGAGGAGTCTATCATTGTTCCCAATTAATAAGCACCCCCTCCCCCGACCGGCCGGCGGCCAACCCAGAACCATCCCGACCCCATGCGGGCCACCCCCCCCCCACCATCCCTGTCAGAAAACAACACGAAACGCACTCTGCTTCCACATGTGGAGCGGCCGACCCGACGCACCCCCCCGCCCATCCCTGTCGAAAAAAATGCAACACACACGTTGGCGCAAAATCTTGAGTCGTGTTCGTGAGGCCCGCGAGCACTTCGTATTGTTTGTGACAGGGACGGCCAGGGTGTCAGCATATTCCCTGCTGCGCGCAGGGCTACCATCCCTGACAAAAAATCAATACAAATGCACCTCGCGGCCAAATCTAAATCATGCGCGGCCACCCCGCGATCACTGTCGATGTTTTTTGACAGGGACGGCGGGGTTGGTTGCGCGTGGCCTGCTTTGCGCAGGCCCACCAGACACAATGATCGGCATTGGTTTTCGACAGGAATGGTGGGGGCCGACATGTTTCCCGATGTGCTGTCACGTGCGCAGGCGCACCTGACACACTCTGCACGTGCCCCGAACGTGGCGCACCTGGCGCGGCTGGAGTGTGCGGCACACCTGGCGCACTCGGAGCACGTGGCGCATCTGACGCACCACCCAAGACGCTTCAAGAGACCCCAGGACCGTGAAGAGGCCCCCAAGACGCCCCAACGTGCCTACAAGAAGCTCTTCAGGGACATCCGAAGACTCCGAGAAGCATACAAGTGGCCTCTGGCCGATCTATTCGCCCTCCTCCTCCTCATCCTCCTCTTCCTCCTCCTCCTCCTCCTCCTCCTCCTCCTCCTTCTCCTCCTCCTCCTCCTCCTCTTCCCTGCTCCCTTCTCCTCCTCCCTGCTCCCTTCTCCCTCCTCCTTTCTCCCCATCCCCCTCCTCCTCCTTCTCCTCCTCCGCCTCCTCCTCTGGTTCCTCCTCCATCCTCCACCTCTTTTGGTACGATGGCTTCCCAACCTTGATGATACTGCATGCTCCCCCACATGCCTGATCAGAGCAACTCGCATGGGCATCGTTTCTGGATGGGCTCGTGGGGATACGCGAAGAGTCTAGAATATAAATAGCAATCAAACAGGTAAGTGATCAAGTGGTCTGGAGACCAAGAATAAAGTGATATGAAACAGTTGGTAAGTTGAGTTGTTACCCTCCTATGTGTAATGTCACTGCTTGTTTCAGGCATGCTCATCTGTTGCCTGTGTGCTCCTGGGGGGCTCCCCCTTCTCCTCCCCCTATCACCCCTCTCCTCCGCGCCCGCCGTTAGGAGGCAACCGCTGGAAGGTCTTCGCGAGAGCGAGGGAGGGCCACCAAACCCGATTGAGGGTCTATTGAACTGGATCAGCTGCGATGGAATCCCAGGATCGCGCTGGAGCAGGCCGGATTCATCCGCCGACCCTGTCGGCGTGTGCGAGGGGCCTGCCCGCTCGATTCGTATCCGCTTCCAGGGGCCCGTCGCCGCTGCCCCCCTTTCCCTCGGCCCCCCTCATCGCCTCCTCCAGCGCGCTCCAGCGCGTCAGCCCGAACGTAATTGAGCAGCGTCGTTCGTATTTGAGTCGCAGGGAAGCCCCTTCCCTTTGATCCCTCCCTCGCCGGGAGGGGGGGGGGTCCCGGGGCGGGTCCAGGAGGAGGCCCGAGGGGGGGGGGGAGCAGGTACGACGCCCCCCACAGGGGGTCCCAGAACCCAAACAAAACCCAACAAGCGCCAAAATTACCCCCAAGAGGTCTCCAAGATCTTCCAAGAGGGCCCCGAATCGCCGAACGCTCTGTCCATCGCGCCTCGACGGTTTCCAGACCGCCCACGAGGCCTGCAAACTGGCCCAAGCAGTGGCATATTCAATGATTTCCCATTCGTTGTTGGAGAAGTTTGAAGTTCTGGCCCCTCATGCTTCACGAAGAAACTCTAAGATGGCCCAGGACGCCTCCAACATCGCCCCAGGACAGCCCGAGAGCCCTCCAAGAGGTTCCCAAAACAGCCCCAGAGGGCGCCAATTGGACGGCCCCAAACGCCCCCAACACGGCCCAAGACGCTTTCAGGACGCGTGCCCAGACGAGAGACCCGAACGGAACTTTCGAGGCGTCGGCCCCGAAAAGCTCCCGCCAGAGTCCCAGACGCTCCGGAAGAGGCCTCTTCGAAGCCCCCCGGGAGCTCCCGAGAGGCCCACCGCGCCGCGACGAAGCGCCGCGGGCCGGCTCGCGAAGCAGATCGCGAGCCCGCAGGACCCAACCGCGAACCCGATCGCGAGCGGGTGGAATCGAACCGGGAGCCGGATCGCGGGCGCGATTATCCTCGTCCTCGCGCCCCCGAGGGCGCCCTCGATACTTTGGCGACGCGAAGAGGTCTGGAGGGGCATCCGTGCCACCGTCATGAAAACCCTCGCCGAATTACCCTGCTCTTCGCCTCCTCCTCCTCCTCCTCCTCCTCCTCCTCCTCCTCCTCCCCCCCTCCTCCTCCCCCTCCTCCTCCCCCTCCTCCTCCGCCCCCTCCTCCCCCTCCTCATCCTCATCTTCCTCCTCCTCCTCCTCCTCCCCCTCCTCCTCCTACTCCTCCTCCTCCTCCTCCTCCTACTCCTCCTCCTACTCCTCCTCCTCCTCCTCTCCTCCTCCTCCCCCTCCTCCTCCTACCTCCTCCTCCCCCCCCCTCCTGCTCCTCCTCCTTCCCCTCCTCCGTTCACTCTCCCCCTCCTCCTCCTCCTCCTCCTCCTCCTCCTCCCCTCCTCCTCCTCCTCCTTCTCCTCTTCCTCTTCCTCCTCCTTCTCCTCCTACCCCTCCAGCTCCTCCTCCTCCTCCGTGGCATCCGTGCCGCCGCCATGGAACCCTCGTCAAATTCCCCTGCGGTCCGCGTCCCCGCCGCCCCCGAGGCATTCGCGCGAAATTGCATGACGCCGGCGCACGGGCCCCAAGGGGCGAAGAACAGCGGGGCCCGCAGGGGAAACCAGGGCAAGCAGGGGCCCCGAGGTCCTCCTAAGTTTTCGTCGATTGTTCGTCGAGTTCTCGATGGACCTTCGATCTGTAGCAATTATTCATCGATTTCGGCCTCCGGTGGCCGCTTTCGGGCACAAGGACCAGCAGAAACGAACCCGGAATGCAAAACGAGCCCTGGAGAGTTTCCTCCTCCTCCTCCTCCTCCTCCTCCTCCTCCTCCTCCTCCTCCTCCCATCCTCTCTTCCAGCCCCACCCCCGAGGAGCTCGGCCACAGGAAACTCCACACAAGAAATTCAAGCCCGAATCCGCAGGTCGCCCACTGATTTCTGGCATAAGAGCGTCGCGCTTTCCATCGTGAGACTATCGAAACCCAAAGACTGTGGCACCCTGGAGGGAGACATGTCATGTCTTGGCAAGGGCCCCCAACATATGGGCCTGCGGGCACGACCCTGCCGCCTACGCCTTGGAGGCGGAGGATGGAGGAGGGGGGAGGGAGGGAGGAGGGAGGAGAGAGGAGGGAGGAGGGGGGGGGGAGGATGGAGAGGTGAGGTCGGAAGAGGGAGAAGAGGGAGGAGGGAAGAGGAGAAGGAGGAGGAAGAGGAGGAGGAAAGGCTGGGGAGGAGGAGAGAGGAGTCCGCCAGACCCTCTGCGTGGACACAAAGTGCCGTAGGCGAAGTTGCCACAAGTCCCAAACCCCACCCCGAATCCGCCGGCCAATCGATTCCTCGAACGGAATGCGTCAAATAATACTACAAATACCCCCTCACCGTCCTCCTATGTCTCCACCCCGTCTTCACCGTCCTTCCACTGACCATTGTCCTGCCTCGACTCCCTCTTTTCCCACATCCAGCCCATCCTCCTTCGCACCCTCCTGCTCCTCACCTCTCATGTGTCAAAACACTCACGTCATCCTCCTTCTGACCCTCCCGCTCTTCCCCCTCCAACCACTTTTCCTCTTCCACATCCCGCTCTTTCGTATGCTAGTGCTCAACATCCTCATCCTCCTCATCATTCTCCTCTTCCTGCTCACCCCCTTCTGCCGCGTGTTCGTACTCCCGAGCGCCGCAAAATCACCTTCACCTCAACTACGCCATACCCATCCTCCTCCTTCAGCCACTCCTCCTCCCTCCTACGCGTACTCCTCCTTCTCCTCCAACTGCTCAACCTCTTCATCCTACTGCTGAATCCCCCCACACAAGCTTCCCCCTGCTCTTTCTCGCCCTCCTCATCCTCCTTCGCATCTTGTTCCTCCTCTTACTGTTCCGCCGCTTCCTCCACGTCCTTACCCCTGTCCCTCCACGTCGCCTTCCTCGTCCTCGTCGTCGTCTTCAGGGTCGGATGCACCGGCCGTAAGGCCTTCGCAATAAGCGGGACCATGCCGGCTTTCGACCGCGAGTATTCTCGCGCCGATATGCTGAGTCTAATCTGCCAGGAGTAGCCGCCTTTCGATCACGAGTATACTGGCGCCGAAATGCTCAATTAACCTTTCGAGTTGGATCCCAACCTGCCGTTTCCCCTCTGCCTCCCCTTTCCCATGCGCCTCCTCCTCCTCCTCCTCCTCCTCCAGCGCTACAGCGGGCCGGCTGCCAGGGAGGGCCCCCTGCGGGCAGTCGAGAAATACTGCCTGGACAGGACGCAGGGAGCGGAAGCAAAAAGTGCTGCGTGGGCACCAGAAGCCCAGTCAGCAAGCCAGCGACGGACATCCGCCCTGCGGCATCTGGACGCTTCTCCGGCTGCCATGGACCCGACACGATGGAGACGATGAGATCGACGACAGCAGAAAGATCACAACGCAAGATTGCACAACAAACACAGTGAGGAATGAGGGATCCGATGCCTTCCTCCTCTTGTTCCTCTTTCTGCCAGTGGTACTCACCTCACTATTCCCATCTTCCGTCTCCTCCCCCTGATCTTCAACATCAGCTGTTCCAGGCTCCGGTCAGAGGGGTATGAGAGGAGCAGGGGAAGGAGAAGGAAGAGGAGAAGGTAGGAGGAGGGAGGAGGAGGAGGAGGAGGAGGAGGAGGAGGAGGCGGGAGGAGGAGGAGGCGGGAGGAGGAGGAGGCGGGAGGAGGAGGAGGAGGAGGACGAGGGAGAAAGGAGGAGGAGAAGGAGGAGGAGGAAGGAGGCAGACGCTGCGATCGATTCGATCGACGTCGGTGCAACGTAAACCGAGGAGGGATAAGGATAAATGAGAAGGACAGAGAGGTGAAGGAGGAAAAAGAGGAGGAAGACTACAGCCGCCCGCTGCGGGGCGCAGTCCTCCCATGCCTCTACCCAGCGCTGCTCCTACGGACGACTCTCTACCTTCAGCTGGCGACCACCTTGCGCACCATTCCTCAGCATTCTGCCTTGCCCAACCTACTCGCCCACTGCCCATGGCACCACCCACGGCAGAAGCAGCACCAGCACCACTCCCCCCTCGGGACCGAAGGCACCTCATCGCCCCCTCCAGTGGCGCCGCCACCTGCGGCTCTCCACTGCAGCCGCAGAGATCTCTCCCAACTCCTCTCCTCGGCTACACGCAAGAGTGACCCTGGGTAAAAGTGACCTTTGGTGCGCGGCTTTTTGGGGGGCCGTGGGAAGAGCAAGCCTGGGCGCGCAGGCCGCTGCTCCTGCCTCGTTTTCAGCCATCTGAGCGCCCATCTGTGCCCGCACCAATGGTCACTCCGGCGAAAGGTCACTCTTACGTCTAGTCGGTCTCCGCCTCGAAGGGACCCTCCGCCTCGACCTGCC